GTCAGAGTAGGAGAGTGCTCCTGGCTAAAGTAAGCCAGTCAGTACTGATGTACGCGGCGCCTATATGGGGAACAGCCCTTCGTCAAAAAACATATCCCAAGAAGGTGAAATCAGCAGCTATTAGAGTTGCCTGCGCTTTCAGAACAGTGTCGCATGAAGCGGTTGGTATTATATCTGGTATTATGCCGCCGGACATAATAGTCTCGGAGCTGGGAAGAGTCTACAGTAGAACAAAAAGCACGAATATGCCACTAACGGCTGACGAACGCAAAGAGGAGAAACAAACGAGTATCGACTAGTGGCAAACACAATGGGACGTGGCAAGAAAAGGAAGATGGGCCCATAGGCTCATCAATAACGTGCAAGCCTGGGTCGAGAGAAGATACGCAGTTCTTGACGGGACATGACTGTTTCGGGGAGTATCTCCTCAGATTTGGTCACGACAGAATGCTCCTTCTGCAACAGTGTCGGTGAAAACGTGGAGCATATCTTTTTCTCCTGTTCGAGATATGTAGCTGAGACAACAACCATAGAGAGGCTAATAAAAGAAAGGATGACACCCGATAACATTGTGAGCCACATGCTAAAATCGAAACTGCGCTCCAGGAGCTAAGAAAGAAAGAGTGGCAGCGGAGATGTGCAGATGTGCAAGTGACGAATAACTCTGTAAGGAGTGTGTGAAGAGCCTTCCTGGCCTAGCTTGGCCCTGCGAAGTAATGCTTAACAGCGCTCCCGCAGGACCACATACAAGCTATAGAAGTCGGAGTTAAGGATTTCATACGTAGGCGTACAGTTTCGCAAGTCCAGCATAGTAAGATAATACTGTCTGTGTGCTGTCCCGAATGAGGTGTACCTTTAGCGAGCAGTATGAATCGTGCATGCCGTCCATGGTTGACGGTATCTATGTAAGATAACCCCTCCAAAAACAAAACAAAAAAAAAAACGGGTGCCACTCGCACCTAAAGCATCCCGCCAGCAACGAACGCGCAATAGCGCGCATCCACGCGCAATAGCGCTCATCTACGCGAAATAGCACGCAATCACGCACAACACGAGTGCCACAATAGCAACGGACCTACGACCGGCCCGATCGCGCAATTACGCGCAGCACGACTGCACCGCAGCAGCCACGCAGCATCGAACGCACAACATCCGCGCGCCTTAAACGTGCCACAACAACTGCCACACCAGCAGCAGCCGTATCATCACCAACAACAGCAGTGCCCCACTAAAACCTGCTGCTGGGTGAGTACTTCGGGCCCTAATACATTCGACATAAAGTAGTATACATAGCAATATATATATGCACAGGTATATACATAGGTATATATAAACATACATATATTATATCGTCGATGTTTTTGCAAAACGGCCTAACCTACGGCAGTAAAATTTTACAGGAGAGCGAAAAAGGGTTTTTCTTTGAAAGCATTGCCTTGATAGCCGGTATTTTCTCTAGCTATTATGTTACAAATTTGTTGTTTTAATTACGATTTTATGATTTTTATGCTGAAATCTCGATGCCTGGAGTTCAGGGTTACCAAATCTAATTTTTGCCGCAACGCCGATTTAGGCGGTTTTGCAAGAACATCGACGATATACATATATATTTGAATTAGACGCAATCAAATGGCTTATAACATTAAAAATTGTTTTAAAGTTATTGTAATTGTGTGAAGTCATAATTTTTTGGCAGTTCAATAATTCAACAGATGCATAAGTACAATTCGGGGACCATCGCTTAAAATTCGGCATGAAAAGCGTGGTGGACGGCAGTCGATTTGAGTTGCACACGCAAAGAAAAGTTCCGTAAACAGCATGACGGAGACGCAATTATCCTTTTTTGAGTATATGTACTCGTAGTTGGTATCATTGCCGTATTGAGTGCCATAGCGTTAAGCGTTGCGCTTGTAATTTTTTTCTAACTTGTATGTGTTGTTGGCCGGTGTAGCCTAAGGAATACCACTCCGAATAACCTGGGTTCGAGCCCTGGTCAAAGCAATATCGCAAAAAGTATAGAAAAAAGTTTTTTTAACAGCGGTCGGCCCTCAGCAGACCATTGCAAACCTCCGAGTGTATTTCTGTCATGAAAAAGCTTCTCATAAAATCCATGTGCCATTCAAAGGCGGCGTAAGACTGTAAGTCCCTCCATTTTTATAACAACATTAAAGACTGGTTTTCATTATGTCATATTTTGACGCCAAAATTTGGCCACATATTTTGACACAACTTTATCTCCTTTATCTATACCTTGACCGATGATATAATAGGCCAAAAACGACATATAGCCGATTTAGCAGCGCATGTACACGACTAAAGACCTATCCGGATCCAAATCAGTCGATAAACCGCTTTTTAATCCCATTGGACAATGTGTTTCCACTTATTTGACGACAAATGCCACTGAGTTTGACATAGTGAAAATCAGCCTTAAGACGCATATCACAAATTGGAGGAGAAGCTTGGCCAAACACTTAGCTTGTAAGCGTCAAGATATTATTATTACTATTATTGTAGTATCCAGCTTATAAGATTTTTGGAAATATCAGTGAAGTTACTACATTTTTTCATGGAATAACAACGGCCGTATTTTTGGCGATACAAATTATCATCCTTTAAAAGAAAATTAAATTTCTAGATTACCTGTGTGGAAAGAAGCACTGAATTATAAAATTAAATGTGAAATGTCATAACTGGGTGCTTGGTAAATATCCTGAAATCTTTGTCAGATTATTTTCCGAAGGACTCATAGATCTTCAGAGTTCTTCGACATTGAAACACACATTTAAGTCTGTGTCTCTGAATGGGTTTTGGGTTAAGGCCCGTTTACATAGAACTTTGGCGTTGCGTTGGCGTTGGCGTCGCTTCAACAGCTGACTATGAATACATGAATTCAAATGCAGCCGTCCACATAGCCAAAATTCGACAACGCTCACGCCAACACAAAGCAAAAAGATGGCCAACTCTCAACTTTTCGCGTGCGTCGCTCGTCAGCTGTTGCGAATAAATAAAATTATGTGAAATATTTTTCCTTTTTAATCAAGTGCGGGCAAGAAATATCGTTTTTAATGCAATTATTGATATGAAATATTAATTTATCTGTCGTTAATATGTTAATTTAGTGGCCCAAGGATTCGCCGCCAAGCGTTCATTGTAGCAAGCATTCTTTTAACGTGCGTTCTGTCAAACCAACGCCAACGCCAACGCAACGCCAAAGTTGTATGTAAACGGGCCTTTAGTGTTAGGAGCAGTGTTGCCGCGAATCTTTTTAGCGGTAGCCAAATTCCGTTAAAAAAAGGGCTAAAAAAGAGCTAAAAAAAGTCGTTGTGGCTGAAAATGGTAACTAAATTTTTTACTTACATATACATATATAAGTATACTCGCAAACATTTTCAATAAGTAATGGTATAGAAAAACAATGAATTCTGGAAAATAAGCTAATATTTTATCCAACCAAAAACCTTTTTGTATAAAAGGGGAAACTTACGACACCAACTTGCTGGCTCCATCAAGTGATTGTACCATCAGGCTCGAAGCATATAACTTACCAGCATGCTGGTACAATATTTATTTATTTACAAATGAGATCGAGGAAAGATCGAAAGGATTAGAGCTGAAATTTCATAATTTTTCTACCATTTTGTTAAACATTGTTCTTTTTTTTAATTCACAACTGCAATATCGTGAACTTAATCTTCCACAAACACGGCTTTGACCCATATAGGGCAAGAAATTTCCACCAAAATACTTTTAACTTAGAAAATTTTGCTAATTTCACCTCTCACGACACCAGCATGCTGGTACAATCATAAAATTTTCAAATAGTTTTTGAAGCCACACCAGCAGCTGGTACAATCACACCACAAGAACATACACGGTCAATCGACTTGATGGACCATTTAACAAATAAAGCATATTAAGGGCAGTAAACTTATCTATTTTAAACTATAGTAGTATAAAAACGTAAGGAACATACAATACATATATGTATATATATGAGTATTTCTTAGTTTAAAAATGCATCTCTTACATAAATGAAAAAAATGAGATCAAATTAAGCATATACAACTTTTTCATACCAAGTATGAATAAACTCTCCAAAGGGTTAAAAAAGGGCTAGGGGCAATTTTAAATTCTCCTTCTGTTTTGCGAAGAAAAGGTGCTGAACACCTTTTGCAGAGAACACCTTTGTATATTTTTAATGCTTACTGGGTTATATCCTATCTTCTTTTGTCTCTCATTCTTTTGCATATTTTGGAGTTTGCCAGCTGAACTCCGCCATTTAATTTGCATATGCAACCAAAGTCAGACGCGATTTTGAAGACGTTTATATTTAATGAATTGTTATTAATTGGTTAATATTAAAGTCGTAAAGAAAGTCATAACTAATCGAGTAAAGTGTAAAGTGAAGGGGAACACAAAAATATATTGGTGAAGTAGCTGCTTTAAGGAGAATTGGCTAATTTCCCAATTTTATAATAAAGGGCATACTTCAAACCCGATTTGTAAATAAATTAGTGACCAAAAATTACAAAAGTGGGTGTTTAAATAATGTGTAGACCCTTGACTACAAGTGTGTGGAATTTTTTTTGGAAAGGGCCACCCCTTTGGACGGAATAGCCTGAAATAGTTGGGAGCGCTACTAAACCCCACCCACGGAATGTGATAAACTTGACAGCCAAGGTCTCGAATTAAATAAAAGTGGTATTCATCTAAACCGATAACTTTATCAAGCAGATAATCTTATAAGTTTACGCACTCTGTTACATGAACAACCCACACTATCTTTTAGTTTACACTCAAGAATGATAGAAAATAGATTGCGCTTTGCGCAGGTCCGCTATTCGTATTTTTCGATCAGCTGATGTGTGACGTCATTGCAGCAATATTTTTACGATATTACGCTGAAAAGTACTGAATTTATGGTTGGAGGAAAATTTGTGTTGAATAAAATATAAAATAAACAGTATAAAAATATAAATATAGCAGTATTAGTATCAATAATGAAGTGCGCCGTAATAAGCTGTGGTAAAACCAATAATAACAAAGCATCAGAATGTAGTTTTTTTCGTTTTCCCGCTGAACCCAATCTTGCCAGAAAATTGATAAAATTCTGCCGGCGGGATAAAGATTTTAATCCAAAGACCGGCTACGTGTGCATGGATCACTTTTCCAGTGAGGACTTTGAAAATAGTCTTAAGTACCAAATGGGTAAGAAAAGTTTTATTAATTGTATGTATGTACGTATCGCTATAAAATCAGATTTTTTGTATTGTTTCTAAGGCTTTGCAAAGAAACGGGCTTTAAAACGAGATGTGCCAACCATTTACAAAAAACAAATTGAGAATCCGGAACGTATCGAACGAGAATGTGCGATTAAGCAAAGAAAACAAAAGGGTTTTGTCCGAAATTACACTTCTAAAGCGCAGTTTTTATATGAAGGAGAAAAAGCGTGCATATGATATAGAGGTTTGGAAAAAAGGGCAGTAGCAGCGGAGCATGCCTGCATAAATATGGAAAATAAGCTGGAAACCATATTTACAAAGGGGCAGATTACCAAATTAAAGAACGGCATTAGGAGACAAGCCTGGACCGAGAAGGACATAGCCCAATCAATAACTTTGTATGCCGCAAGCGCAAAAGCGTATAAATTATTATATAAGAAAGAATTTCCACTGCCAGCGGTACGAACATTACAAGATTGGGCCAAGAGAATCGAAATTTCTCGAGGTGTGTTGCATACCGGCTTAGGGGATATATTCTTGGACACAACCAATGTGTGATATCCGACAACGCCAATATCGAAGTTGACGACACCCCAGATCTTGAAGTTTCTCAGCCACCTCTTACTGGTATATATTTGAAATAAATTATTTCCCAAAGACATAGAGTAACTCTTATTACTTTTTTATTAATTACAGCAAAAATTTTCAAGGCTATAAATGTCCCTGCAATAAGGGAGGAGCGGACTGAAGAATTCCATATTAATGAATTGGAGTATGACGGACTAGAAAACCTTGCTGGGTATATTTGCCATAGATTTCGAGATGAAATCCCCAGTACATTGTTGCTATAGTGAGGAAAACCAGTCATACTCTTGGGTAAATCAGTTGAACGAAGGTGGATTATCTGTTCCAAGCAGTATTATGATGGATCACATGCGTCGTATGGAGGATATTTTTAAAACGATCAATGGGGAAAGCTTGATGATCGCAACCCAGTTTTTAGAAAAGCATATTGAAAAGGCTTCTGATATAGACTGTGACAGAAAAATACAAAAATTATTCTTTAGGTCTAGAATGTACATAGTAATACGCAAATTAAACAGAGAAATTGAACAAAATGTCCGTTCAAGAAAACGAAAGTATGTTAAAATATTAACGTAAATGTTATTTATAAGTTTTAGCTGTAAAAAAACTTTTAATTTTTATTATCTGAATTAACTTATTAAGTTCCAAAATCATTTTCACTAAATTTTGCTTTATTTAAACTTAATCGGTTATAATTTTTCTTAACTTAATACAAGTGTAACGAGTTATTTTAAGTAGTTTAATGTAGAACCATATTTCTATACAGATTTTCTAAATAGAAAATACAAACTTTGTATAACATAGTATCGAGAAAGATGACAAATTTAACGCACAATGAATAAATGTACAAAAATCTATTTCAACTTAAGTGCAGTCTTTGTTTTTAAAATATTCTCTAATAACACTCCTCCTCTTGCTCCTGCGTGTTGATACCGCACACAATCTTCAAAGGTGACACAACTCAAAATTTGGGATTTTTGAAATTATGCACTAAAAATGTACACAGAGCTTTTATTTACCGGTAAGTCTCTAGTGTAGGGTAATAACCCCTAAAAAAGGTCCGGAAAAGTCGGGAGGGGTACCAAACGACGCGTTTCGGTCTCCCTATTCACAATCCGGAGGGGGAAGGCTAATATTATTAACCATTTAAAAGTTATGAACAAAAAACTTTTGTTAAATTTCGTTGTTTTCTATGGGCAATTACACCGACAAAGATTCACTAAATCACCTGTTCTCACTTTTTAAACACTATTAAAATATATAATTTAACTTATTTATTAAACAAACACATAGTTTTATCAACCTAGGTTATAACAAATTATTGCAATGCCAGGATTTGCTCAATTCTTCATAGCTGAATTGCTGAATATTTTAACTGCATTACCAACGTACCTAGAATCGTGGTGAAAAGAACTGGTAACATTTTTTGGTAATGCAATTTTTCAGTTACAAAATCTTCGGTAACGTGCAGAATAGACCTGTAAGTCGACTCTAAAGTTAATTGCAGCTTTTCGATATAATTTTCAATGGGATACCTGTCAAAAAAAGCTGCAACTAACTTTAGTGTCGCCTTAATTTTGACTATCCCCCTTATTCTAGAACCCGAATTTTCGTAATTCGTAATTCGTACCTACGCTACGAAAAACGAAAAATCCACATGCTGCAACCCTTGTGGAAACATGTGCAGCATTGCCAGCTATCAGTTGTTTTTCGAAGATAAATGAATGAAGGAAAACAAAGTGGAAAGGAATTAAAAAAACACTAATCATGTGCGTGTTTATTGTAAAATTGGTTAATTTTACATATTTTGAGGAAAATGATGGATTCTGATGAATTTGCAATTATAGCAGCAGAGTAAGAGGGCGCTATGGCAACCCTGCAAGAACAGTGACCATCATTTGACAAATCATTTGAGTGGCAAGGCTGATAGAGATTTATGTCACTGGCTACCTACAAGTTTCTATCAAATTATAAAGGGCAGTGTGAAAAATCTGATGTAAACATTTGTGTACATGTGATCTTCCGTCTTCCTCCAATTTATGGTCTCTTTTTAACCAACGCAAAATTTGCAAATTTGTTAGTAAGATAAATGAGAATGTGTTAGTTTCCATCCCACGGAATGTACTCACAAAGGTATGCGGAGCTGTCGGGCATAGTAACAATGGGCGCATCTATGTTAGCTTCTGGTTGAATTGTTGAACCACAAGCCAGAACTCCTCCTATGCCTGAAGCTCTGGTTCTCAATCCAGTTAATGCATTAACAGCTTCTTCCAAGACAATGAAAACATGCAGTTAGGTCCACCACCTGTTGCGCCTGCTTCTGCCTTCGGCCGCGCTTAGGGATTATAACCCTTAATAAGTAGACTTCTCTTTTCTGTGTTGCCGGAGAAGAGGGGCTTCCGCATGTCAAAGGTATACAAAGGTATTGTTACGATTGTCCTTGAAACCTCGTCCGGTTCGTATCGCTGGATTGTAAAATAAATGCTAAATTGTAGTACAATTAACTTTATTGTACAACAAACAAATTACAATACTCGCTAATACAGTAAAAACACTTTACAATACTTTTTAAAGCAATAACAACGTTTTACTAAATTTGTTAACACAATTTAACTTATAGCTTGCTTATTTGCGACTCACTTCTCTGCTCACTTTACTTGTAGCTTGCTGACTTGTAACTGTCCAACTCCGCTGTGTCGTGGCTCTTATATACCTGCGCTCGTACGCATGGCAACTCTCGAACGTTCTGAAGTTCATCACTCATTCAATTTCTCTCGCTGTTCGCAGTGTTTCTGACGTTTCTCTTTGTGGAACATTCTACGTCATTCCTCGAACATTCTGCCTATTTCTCGTTGTTCGCTAAATGTTGCCGCAGTATTCGCCACACTGCCCTCCACCTAAGTCTGATCGTCCCGATCAGACACACTTGCGGTTCCAAACGCTGCAAGCCTTTCCAAGTGGACCACCTTAATCTTGTTTCTTGGTCTCCCAACGGTCTGGATCCGATACACTACGTCATTTAGCCGTTTTACGACCTTATACGGACCTTCCCAGTTGCATTGTAGTTTTGGGGACAAACCTTTCTTTCGTTGTGGATTGTACAGCAACACCAAATCTCCTTCCTGGAAACCCTCGGAATTCATCGCCTTATCATACCTGGCTTTCATCTTGTCACACATAATTTGCGTGCGCTGTCTCACAAGAGCATGTATCTCTCTCAGCTCCTCTTCCAGGATGTTTGACGTCTCTTTTCCAATTCTTCTAGCATCACCAGTCACCCCAAACTTCAGATCACTAGGCAAACGGAGCTCACTGCCGAATATTACCCTTGCAGGAGTTTTACCCGTTGTTTCATGCACTGCTGACCGGTATCCCATCAGGAACAAGGGTATGCGGACATCCCAATCTTTTTGATTCTTGTCCACGACCTTCCGCAAATGCTCTTCCAGGGTTCGGTTGAACCGTTCTACCATGCCATCTGATTGGGGATGAAGAGCCGTCGTTCGAGTTTTCCGGATACCCAGTATCTGGCACATCTCTTGGAACACCGCCGATTCAAAATTTCTTCCCTGGTCAGAGTACAGCTCTATAGGTACACCGTATCTCGCAACCCAATTGTAGGTGAATACCTCCGCTACTGTTTTAGCTTCCTGGTTTGGAATCGGGTATACCTCCGGCCATTTGCTAAAGTAGTCCATAACCACAAGGACGTATTTGTTTCCCTGTGCGCTCATAGGAAATGGACCGGCAACATCCATGGCAATCCGTTCAAAAGGTGCACCGGAGTTATACTGCTTCATCTGGCCATGACTTCTGGATTTCGGCCCTTTAGCTGCAATACACTCCGCGCAGTTAGCAATCCCCTCTGCGACCGATTGCCGACAGCCAACCCAATAGAACCTCTGCTTAACCTTCTCCAGGGTCTTCGTGATTCCCAGGTGCCCTCCACTAGGACCATTGTTGAATTCCTTGAGGACATCCGGAATTCTTACCCTTGGAACTACTATCAGGTTGCGGGAGCACAGGCCATCTTCGCTTTCCCATACCCTATGCAAACAGCCAGATATTAATTTTAAGCTGTTCCATTGGGCCCAGTACGCCTTTGCGATGGGGCTTTCCGTTGCCATTTGCTCCTTGGTTGGCCTTCTGTCCACCTCCAGTCCATGCATCAAAAGCTCAAGATAAGAATCTTCCTGCTGACACTTTCGTAGCTGTTCTTCCTTCCACTCTTCCGCTGGTGTTATTGTAGTTAGACGGACGTCTATATTGTCCTCTTTGCCTTCGGCTTTTGAGCAGTGCTTACATTCCAGGCTACATGGTCGGCGGGACATGGCATCAGCATTACCGTGGACACTTCCGTTGCGGTGCTCAATAGCGAAGTCATAACTTTGCAGTCTCTCAATCCACCGGGCTGGCTGTCCTTCTGGATTCTTAAACTGTAGTAGCCACTTCAGCGCTGCAGGGTCCGTTCGAACTCGGAAACGTTGCCCATAGAGGTACTTGTGGAAATGTTTGACGCAGTTCACCAACGCTAGTAGTTCTCTCCGAGTTACGCAGTAGCTCCTCTCTGGTTTTCCAATCGACCGGCTATAGTAGGCAACTACCTTCTCCTGCCCATCAATTACCTGAGACAGTACGCCTCCTGTGGCATAACCACTAGCATCCGTATCCAAAATAAACGTTGCACCTTGAACGGGATACGCTAGCATAGGTGCAGTACAAAGCCGTTCCTTGAGAGTTTGGAAAGCCTCCTCCTGCTCCTTGTTCCACTCGAAGGCTCTATATTTCCTAGTGATCTCGTGGAGGCTTTTAGCAACGCTGGCGAAATTCGGAACAAATCGGCGGTAGTACGTGCATAGCCCAAGAAAACTTCGTAGTTCGTGCAGGTTCCTAGGTCTTGGCCAATCCTTTACTGCCTCTCTCTTTTCCTTCGCAGTACAGACGCCCTCCGTTGTCACCTTGTGCCCTAAGTAGTTCACCTCCTTCTTGAACAGTGAGCACTTTTTAGGACTTAGCTTCAGACCAGCGCCAGCT